TAGGGATGCACAAGATGAGGATAAGATCAGTAATTTGTTTCCAACATGTTTGTTTTGAGGTGCCTAGTTACATATCCAAGGGGAAACGTGAGAGAGGGCGGCTGGAGGTTGGAGAGCTGTCTGGGTGGAAGAGGTAAACTTGGGAGGCATGCAGGCACACAGGTATTTAACCAACTAGAGAAATGAATCTGATAGTACAGTCTTCACACAGGTATTTAAAGCCAGCACACCAGATGAGATTACCAAGGTGTGTGGATAAAGGTGAAGGACTGAGCCAGTGGTCTCCAAGGCAGAGGGGTCCCTTCAAAAGAAACTGATGAGGAAAATCTTTCATTACAAAGAAGACATCCATCAAGAAAGGACTGTGTAAATAAATTATGGGTCTCCCATTTAATGGATGCTCTGCAGCCATAAAAAAAAGAATGATGGCCTTTTTTGGGTCACATGTTGGGTTCTCAGGAAACAGATGGTGAGATGGAATTTGGGGTGAAAAATGTTTATTACAGACTGATGGCTGTGAAAGGAAGAAATGGGCAAAGGGGACTGTGAGGTTGAACTGTGATTCAGGCTGGACAAAGCCTGGTCAGCTGGTGGGGGACTCTGGAGTGAATACTATCAGAGGGTCACATCTCAAGTCAGAGGGCTGGACACGCTTCCTCTGCCTCTCTGTCCCTGGGATCTTGAGCAAGGTGGCTCTCTGAACTGAGACTGACCCAAAGGTGGAAGCTGGCAGCTCCTGCTCATCATACTTCCCTCATCTGGGTGGCAAGTTCTTCCTTGAAAAGACATGGAGACAGAAGATAAGGCTCTGCAAAGGCAGGGATTTTTGTGTTTTGCTTTGTATTTGCTTGTTTGCTTTGTTTTAGTCCTACTGTATCCCAGTGCAGTGCACATAGTAGGTGCTCAATAAATATCACTTGCATAAACAAATTTTCCAGCCTCCTTTGCAGCAAAGTGTGGCCATGTGACAGGGTGTGGCCAAGTTCTGTCCAATGGGATGTAAGCAGAGAGGTGCGCAACAGCGTTCCTTCAAGATCGGCTGGCAGGCCCTTTGTCTTTTCTTTCCTCCTCGCTCCATCCAGTGTTTGGAGTAGAAATGTACCAGCTGAAGCTCCATTTTGGATCTTTAAGACAAGGAGTGCTCCACGCCAAGGCGTGAGCTGGAAGAGGGTCCCCAGGAACTTCCCCGTAGAGAGCCACTCTACCTACCCTTGATGCCCACCTACAGACTGTGACTTGAAGACAAAGACTCTTTCTTCCGCCTTGTCTAAGATGCTGGTACTTTAGGGTTCCCCTCTGTCATACCTTACTAATAAACCCTGCACAAGAATAGGCACTCAGTAAACATCAGTTATCTATTCCACAGTAGAGTTACTTGATAATTTTTTATTTTAAAATGTAAATGATGTCATCAGTCCCCTTTTACTGGACATTTATTTCCAACTTTTTGCTAATGTGAATGTGGTAGACTGTCTCCAAAGGTAGCCACCGCCTATCCCTTCCATCTCGTATGTCCCCACCACTCCTCACACCAGGAGTCTAGTTCCCCTTCCCTTCCACTTAAATCTGGGTTTGGTTCTGACTTGCAGACCAAGTTTTTAAAAAGACAAATAGCTTCTGCTTCCTCTCTCTGGGAAGCCAGCTGCTATGTGAGAGGTAAAGTCTACCATACTGTGAAGAAGCCCAAGTAGCCCAGCTGAGGGTCTAGATATATGTGAAGAATGTTCATTGTTGAAATTTCAACCCCAGAAAACCCCATGTGAAGAACAATCATTCATTGAGCCCAGTCCAGATTCTCAAATTCTGAGAAACAATAACCTGTGGTTGTTTTCAAACTTTAAGTATAGGGGTGCGCTGTTACACGACAATAGCTAACTGAAACAACATGTGTCCAAACAGTTTTGCCATAAACAGTTTTGAGGCCAAATCTTGGTGTTCATCTTTGATAATCCTAAAAATGAGAAGCTAGAAGTGGACTATGTGAATTTGAAATTTGGTGTCAATTCAGTTTCCAAAGAAGCTGTAGCAATGTCATGAGACATTTATGCAAGTGTCCATTTACTCACAGCCTCTTCGGTCCTTGGTGTTTCCATTCCTTTTTTAATTTTCAGTTTCTATCAATTCAACAGACCTGTTTTACATTCATCTCAGAAAAAGTAACTGATCAAAGCTCCTTTCTGATCATGGAGCAATAACCTAAAACTGGTAGGATGAGCTGATTTGTAGCCAAGAGCCAGGATATTCATTCATTCATTTCTCTATTGAGAATTTACAGAGCAAAGTTTGGAGGAGTAAATAAACATTAAATATTTATGGAGTGTCTACAATGTTCCAGGCACTGTTTAAAAGTTACCTTTTTTTCCACTTCAAGCCACTATCCACTTTAAGTCAATGACTCAACTTGGAGCAATTCTGCCCTCTGGGGGTGGGAGGACACCTAGCAAAGTCTGAATTATTTTTGGTTGTTACGATGGGGGAAGAAATGTTATAGGCATCTAGTTGGTGGAGGCCAGGGGTGCTGCTCAACAGCCTACAATACACAGGACAGCCTCAGCCCACTCAACAAGGAATTATCTAACTCAGAATGTCATCAGTGCCAAGGTTGAGAAACCCTAATATAAATGAAATGAAATAAAATAGGATAAAAGTATCAGAAGACATTGCTCAAAGTACTGATAAGTCTCATTTCATAAAACTTTTGCATTTTTGTGTACACTGACACTGTATGAGATGTATTCCTCCTCATGAGTCCTAATCAGAAAGATTTGATTAACAGTGTTCCAAAGGCCACAGAGCTGAGTAAGACCACAGAGCCTCTAGCCTCACAGAGCTCACTTCTACAGAGAATAAAGAAAACAAATAAATAAATGGGATTGTTTGGGACAGCCAATTAAACAAGGCAAACGTTCCAGCAAGGGGGGATCAGGGAAGGCTTCTCTAAGGGAGTAATATTTTAGAGGAGGCTCAGGAGCTAAATTCAGGAAGAGGACCCAAGAAAAGGCCAAGCGGTTGTATGGAGCTTGCCATGTCTGAGGAACTGAAAGCTGTCCAGTGTTGCTACCAGGGGAGGTGGAGGGAGGTGAGGTTGGAAGATAGCAGAATGGGAGCCAAGGCAAGGGTTTTAGGCAAGGAAGGGACATGGTTCAATAAGCTTTTATGAGGATCACTGAGGCTGCTGAATGAAGTAACAATGGGGCACCGGACAAGAGAGAACCTGGAACACCTATGAAAGCATTACTGAGGATGTCAACAAGACAGAAGAGGTGATGCCCTGGCTGGTGTGGTTCAATGGGTTGAGTGCCAACCTGCGAACCAAAGGGTCACTAGTTTGATTCCCAGGCAGGGCACATGCCCGGGTTGCAGGCCAGGTCCCCAGTAGGGGGCGCTCCAGAGGTGACCAGACATTGATGTTTCTCTCCCTCTCTTCCTCCTTCCCTTTCCCTCTGTGAAAATAAATATATAAAACACTGTTGTTTAAAGACAGAAGAGGTGAAAAGTAGTTGAATTTGGGGTAAACAGAGCAGGTATCGGGGAAGTAGAGAGGGCAAGGGATGTGGTGAAGTGCTGAGAGGAACGATGGAGGGGTGGTGACAGCTGATGGCCCTTCTCCCTAGGGCAGGGTGGGAGCTCAGGCCCTAAGGGAACCGGCTGGACAGGGCCACCCACCTGACTCATAGCAGAAACTGGGACAGCCTGCGCTACCCACCTACGTTCTCAGTCCTCGCTGGGGAAACACCACTCCCAGTGTCCAAATGCCAGCTTCCTCCATCACCCACACCACACCACCCCCGCCAGTGAGGCTTATATCTGGGCCTTCTGCCCGAAGTGCCACCAAACTCTTCCACTTCCATGTCCTTCCTTCTGTCTTGCCCCCAAGTCCATAGGGTGGCAAGTGTCTGTGTCCTGCTCTATCTTCCCATCAGACGGGATCCCCTGTGGGTATGGAGGATACAAAATTACCCTTACCTAGGGCACCCAGCACTGAGTTTAGAGTCCAGTATCTCGATATTGTCTGGCTATGAACTCCTACCTATGAGTCAAAACCCATTTCAAATAGGCCCTCATTTGGGAGGACTTCTTGAACTCCTGTGGTTCCTGACCTAACACATCAATAGCTAATAAAAGTTTTGTTTTTCTTCGTATTGATTCTAGAGATCGGGGAAGGAGGGGAGAAAGAGAGGAAGAGAAACATTGATGTGAGAGAGAAACATCAATGGTTTCTTGCACACAGCCCAACTGCAGGCTGAACCCTCAGGAGTCGAACCTGCGACCCCATGGTTTGCAGGATAACGCCCAACCAAATGAGCGACACTGGCCAGGGCAATAACTAATACAAATTCAGTACTTACTGCGTTCCAGGTCCCATTTCGAGAATATGGTTATCATAATCCCCATTTTACAAATGGGAAACTAAAGCTCAAGGACAAACAACTAGAAAGTAGTGGAGCCAAGATTTGAACTCAGGTAATTTCAATATGCAGCTTCAACAGCAGGTCCTTAAATCCTTTCTTGTGAGATTGATCATAGCCATCTTCCAGATGAGAAACTTAGGGCACAGAGGGGTTAAGCAATGCACTTAAGATTACACAGTACGTCAGTGCTCGAGCCCACCCTCGGGCTCCCACACCTGGGGTCCCTCCCTCTATCCCACACTTGACCAAAGATGAATGCCAAGGTCTCAGTAAAAGTCGGCCCCACCATGCTGGAAGATCGCCAAGGCAGGAGCCCAGTGAGCACAGTGTCGATTTTTTTCCCCCGCAATCCGGATCCATTTCTATAACGTTCGCACCGAATGCTGATTTATAAAATAAGTAATGAACAGCAGAAAATAATGACAAATTAGTCGGGAAAGGGACTCGAGCTAGAGGTCTCCAGTCTTTCTCTCCTGGACTCCACTTCCTTCCATGGCTCCGCCCCGCCCCTGAACGTGCGTGCCTAGCTTCCCGGAAGTGGGGGGGCCTACTGAGAAAGCGCTGTGGGAGCAAAGAACGCCGGGAGTTGTAGTTCCTCTGTCGGACGGAAGCCGGGACGGAACAGCAGCGGGATGTGGCACGGAATATTGGTGAGGGGGACCCGGGTGGCCGCAGGCAGGTGCCCGGCGTTGGGGCCTCGCCTCGCCGCTCGCTTCCGCACACAGCGGACGCCCGAGACGAGCCTGGCCCTGCAGCGGAGCTTGCACATGACGGCGGCCCGGGCTATCCCGCTCATTCCCATCGTGGTGGAGCAGACGGTATAGCGACCGCCGAAAACATGGCCTAGGGCTCGGGCTAGGGACACAGCCGGCCCAGACTCTCATCTCCGTCTTTCTTCTTTAGGGTCGCGGCGAGCGCGCCTATGACATCTACTCGCGGCTCCTGCGGGAGCGCATCGTGTGTGTCATGGGTCCGGTGAGCACCCCGCGCCCTCCCTGATGAGCTTGCCTGGACCCTAAGCGCCCCCTCTCCTCGAACCCTCTTGGCCCCCTGACCTTTCCCATTTGACTTTCCTCCCCGGGCTCCTCTCTGATCACAACCTGACGACCCCTTCCTTGCACATAAGCCTTCTGACTCCCCCCTCGTCCCCAATACACCCCGCCATTTCGTCCTGACCCCTTCTTCAAACCGCGTCTCCCTGATTTCTGACTCCCTCCCACAATTATGATCCCGTCCCCATTCCTGGACAATCCCTCAGGCCTCCTGACCCCTTACCTTCCTGTGCCGTGAGCCCACTCCCCGGTTCCTGTGCCTCAAACTTCTTTGGTCCCAATCACCTCCCACACCCCCTCCTGAATCCTGAATTATTCCTGACCCGTCTTACCTGGTTCCTTGACTCATCCCCAGCCACGCCAGGACCCACCTCTCTTAGCCCTTATCTCCCCCCCAATCTGGGGACAACCCCATCCTCCCCACTTGCAGATCGATGACAGTGTGGCCAGCCTGGTTATCGCTCAGCTGCTGTTCCTGCAGTCCGAGAGCAACAAGAAGCCCATCCACATGTACATCAACAGCCCTGGTGAGCGGGGGCCTATCTAAGTGCAAAGGGCAGTCCTTGGATGCACTGGGTGACTCAGGGGATCCAGATTTGTACCCCTGCCCCATCAAGGATGTTCTCTCTCTAGAGAAAGAAAGGATTCAAAGCTTCCTTCAGAATCCCAAAAGTGTCTTGAAACCTCCCAAAGCTGTCTGTTCCTTGCTTTTAAGTCTAGGTTCACAAATCTTCAGCTGAACTTTCTTCTTTAATTATGGACATAACAATTGTTTTCGATTACAGTTGACATTCAATATTATTTTTTATTTGTTTCAGGTGTACAGCATAGTGTTAAACAATTATGTAATATATGAAGTGATCCCCTGATAACTCTAGTACCCACCTGGCATCATACGTAATTCTTACCATTGCATTGGTAATACAGTATATTTCTTATACTGTACTGTACATCCCTGTGACTGTTTTGTGACTGCCAATTTGTACATCTTAATCTCTTCACCTTTTTCACTGAGTCCCCCAGTCTCCCTTTCTTCTGGCAACCATCAGTCTATTTTCTGTATCTGAGTCTTTTTCTGTTTTGCTTGTTTGTTTATTTTCTTTAGATTCCACATATACGTGAAATCATATGGTATATGTCTTTCTCACATGTAACATTTTGCCAGCCTGACCTAGTCAACATTTTAAAATTGGTAGATTCCACCATCACCACCCTCTCCCCTCCACCCCCAAAATGAATAGCTAATCTTGATTGAGTGCTTACCGTGCCAAGCGCTTTTTCTAAGCATTTTATATGCATTTAACTTATTTGACCCTATGGCAGCCTCACGTGCTAGGTACCAGTTACCACAGTCTAGGAGACACTGGCTCTGAGAGGCTGGGTAACTTGCCCGGGCCGCACAGATGAATGATAGCTCAGCCCGGGGTCCTACCCAGGCAGGCTGCCTCCAGAGCCTCACCCTCAGCCACCACCTCTCCAGATTTCTAGTATCTCTTCAAAATGTAGCAGATCTGGTTGCCCTGGGCCCACATGCACATGTGGCAACAGGTAGCTTACTATAGAGCGAGCGCTCTCATGTTGCTCCCACCTGGCCTATGTCACGTGTTTTTGTCATCCCCTGGCCCCCTGCCCCAAGGCATTTGCAGACCCTGCTTTAAAGGGCTGCATCCCCATCAGTTCTCCCTAGGCCAGAGGCTGCAACAGGGAAAGGATGGCAGGAGGAGCTGGCACAGCCCTTAACTTGCATCCCCACCCATAGGTGGCATGGTGACCTCAGGCCTGGCCATCTACGACACGATGCAGTACATCTTGAACCCCATCTGCACATGGTGTGTGGGCCAGGCCGCCAGCATGGGCTCCCTGCTTCTCGCCGCAGGCACCCCGGGCATGCGCCACTCACTCCCCAACTCACGCATCATGATCCACCAGCCCTCTGGGGGCGCCAGGGTGAGTTCCAAGCTTTGCAGATTGCTTCAGGGATCTACACAGAAGGACTGACTAGGTGAAACTTGAGGGGGTTGTCAGTGTTTTAAAATGTAGGGTTTATTATTACTCAGGTAGAGTGAGGTCAACAGAAGATGACTGCTATCGAAAAGATAGTTTGTTAACAGTTTTCAAGAAGAAGGGGTATGCCAGGCTATGGCAGGGCCACATTGGGAAGTACCAGGGTTGGTCAGGAGGCAGAGGGAGCAGGAAGAAAACATGGCAAGAGCCTTTATTGTAGTTTCTGTGGGAAAAACTGGGGGCAAGGCAAAACAAACAGGCTTAAGACTGGCTAGTTTGAATAACTGCAACATGTTCTGGGGTGATTGGGGTAGGGGGATAGTGGCTCAGAATCCCCGTAGGAGGTGGTGTTCGTGTGGGTTTGGGATTGTCTGGTTTGCACATGAAAGGTGTGCCTTTAGGTGAGCTATTTGCCGTCTCCAGGCATTAGTTAACTCTGGGAGGGACCATTCTTCTGGGTCAACAAGGTCCACATACAGAAAATAAGATAATATATTTAATCCAGGAAGCCTTCCTGATGGTGGTGAGAATGAAGCAGGATGTGGAGGGACTCGCAAAGCCCTGTCCCACCTGCCTGAACACTGGCAGTCCGAAGTCCAAAGGGGGCTCCCAAGTCCCCATCTCCAGCCTCCCCATGAGGGGTTGACACTGGTTCCAACCTTCTTCTTCTTGGGACGTCCCCCAGGGCCAAGCCACAGACATCGCCATTCAGGCAGAGGAGATCATGAAACTCAAAAAGCAGCTTTACAGCATCTATGCCAAGCACACCAAACAGAGCCTGCAGGTGATTGGTGAGTGCCCTGCCCCAGGCAGACCTCCAGCTGTTCCCCTTTACATGAGCCAACACAGATGTAAGTGTCAGGCCTCGCACTGAGCCAGGGCCTCTCAGCCTGGGCACTGTTGACACTCAGGGTCAGTCGTTCTCTGGTGGAGCCCATCCTGTGCACTGCAGGGTACTGAGCAGCCTCCTGGCTGCCACCCACTTGATGCCAGGAACACCCTCCAATTATGACAACCAAAACTGTCTCCAGACATTGCCCAGTCTTCCCTAGGGCATAGAATCAGCCTTGTTGAGAACCCCTGTTCTGAGCACTTTAAGGAAACCTCAAAAACTTCACTGAAATAGGTCAAAAGGTCTTTAACAAAGAATATTCCAAGTGGCCAAGAAATATAAGATGCTCACCACCTTTAGTGATGCTGTTTTAATCGTGACATCATGAGTTATGAGGGAAAAGAAGTTAAGGCCACAGTGAGATACCATTTCAACCCACTGGAATGGCTAAAATATAAAATACTGACAACACCAAATGCTGATAAGAATATGGAGCAATGGAAACGCTCATCCACAGCAGGCCAGAGTGAAAATGGTACAGCCACTGAGGCTCTGACCACAGCTCCCTAAATCCAGCTGTTTGGCACTAGTGGCTAAAGCTAAACATGCGAAAAGATCCTGGGGATACCCCCCCACCCCCCACCCCCAGCTCAGCATATAATCGAGAGAACTGAGTGCTGTGTCCACCAAAGACAGGAATGCTACAGCAGTCCTGTTTGTATAAGCTCCAAACAGAGAAATACCCTGATGCCCACAGCAATAGAATGCGTGCATTAGTGGTGGTTTATTCACATGGTAGAATACCATGCAGCAGCGAGAGAATGGTCCACAATGACACAGCAGCCTGGATGAATCTCAAAAACCTAGTGCTGAGTGGGAAAAAAGAGTAAACACTGTGATTCCACATATTTAAAGAACAAAAACAGGCATCACTGTTAGGACAGTGGTTACTCTTAGGAAGGAGGACTTAATGACAGGAAGTGGGACCAGGCAGTTTTCAGGAGATCTGGCAATGCCCCATTTCTTGATCTGGGTGCCAGCCATGTGGGTATATTCAGTCTGAAATTCGTCACATTATCCACTTACGGTTCACACCCTTTCCCAGATAATTATCCATTAATAAAAAGTAAAAAATAAAAATGGAAATAGGTATTTTAGCAATGGGGAAACAGGCACAAAGCAGAGAAGGCCAAGGTCACACAGGGGAAAAGTGGCAAAAAGGGACCCAAACCTAGCCCCAGTTCTCTGCTTTTAACCACACATGTCCTGCCTCCTCCACCCCCAAGAGTCGGCTATGGAGAGAGACCGCTACATGAGCCCCATGGAGGCCCAGGAGTTTGGCATCCTAGACAAGGTTCTAGTGCACCCACCTCAGGATGGTGAGGATGAGCCTGAGCTAGTGCAGAAGGAGCCTGTGGCAGCGGCAACAGCGGCAGAACCTGCCCCAGTGAGCACCTGAGTGGACCTACCCTCCAGAGGAAAGTTGAGGGCCAGAAGCTATGGCTGCTACTCTGCTGGCCTCTTGCTGCTGGGCCTGGAGGAGCCCCCTGAGGACCTTTGGACTTGGGGATGCCCCTGATGGCGGGTGTCCTCGGGTGTCCTTGCTGAGACACTGTGATTTTAAATTAAATCTTTGTAGTTTTTGCTGCCCTTCTGTGGCTCCTTCCTTCTCAGCTCCACCACCGCACATGCGTATACACTTCCTTCTGCTTTGCCCGTGATCCTGAGGCTCTGATCTTCAGCTCCTTAACTTCAACCACCTCAACTGAGCATATACACGATTCCAGGCACTGCTCTACAGGCCGTGACACATCGTGAAGAAAACATAAAAATCACTGTCCTCAAAGAACCTTTTGTTTTTAGGGAGAGGGGAAGGGAAGGAGGAAGAGAGGGAGAGAAACATTGATGTGGGAGAAACATGGATTGGTCACCTCTCACACGCTCCAACTGGGAACCTAGCCCGCAACCCAGGCATGTTATTGGCCTTGACCAGAATCGAACCTGCGACCTTTCAGCTCTCAGGCCAGCGCTCAATCCACTGAGACACACAAGCCAGGGCTCAAAGACTTTTTTTTAAGTAGGTTTTTTTTTTTTTTTTTTTTTTTTTAATTTAGTGATTTTAGAAAGCAGAATGGAGAGAGGCAGAGAGAGAAACATTGATTTGCTCTTCCACCCATTCACGCCTTCAATTGATTCCTGCATGTGCCTCAACTGGGATTGAACCCACAACCCCAGCATATCGGGACAGCACTCCAAACCACTGAGATACCTGGCCAAGGACTCAAAGAACTTATTCTTGCTGGGGTAGACAGTTTGAAATCAGGGAAAAGTAGTATGTAGGGTATGTGTCAGACAGTTTTAGATGAGGTGGCCAGCAAAGGCCTTGCTAAGAAGGTGACACTTAAGAAAAAACCTGAAGGAGGGAGCCATGTTGCTATCTTGGGACAGAGCAGTCCAGGCAGAGGGCACAGTGAGTGCAAAGGCCCTGACGCAGGGCTGTCTAGCACCTGGGAGGGACCATGAGGCTAGAGTGGAGGAGATTAGAGCAGAAAGGAGACAGGTCTGAAAAGGCCCGGTAGGGCTTAGCAAGGAGGGAGGTGAACCACAGAGGGTTTTGAGAAGGGTTAAAAAAGAGGATGACTATGGCTCCCATGGAGAGGTGGGTGGAGTGCAGCAAGCTCAGAAACCTGGAGGCCAGTTAGGAGACTGTCAAAATAACCCAGATGAAGACTGAAGACCCAACCAGATGGTAAGAGGTCAGATTCCAGCCAGGTATTTGGTGGTGGTTTTATTTTTTTAAAAAGATTTTATTTATTCATTTTTAAAGAGAGAGGAAGGAAGAAAAAGAGGGAGAAAAATATCAATGTGATTGATCATTTGCCTGGGCCTGCAACCCAGGTATGTGCCCCAACCGGGAATTGAACAGGCAACCCTTTGGTTTGTAGGACAACGTTCAACCTAGTGAGTCACACCAGCCAGGGCCCAGCCAGGTTTTAAAGGCAGGGCTGACAGGTGGGATGTGAGATTTGAGAAAGTGCTCTTCATAAACTACAAGGGATGGCCCAAAGCAAATATGAAGATGGAGAGTTGTTAACTGAGGCAGGAAGACCGTTGAGAGGAGCTGGTTTGGGGGCTGTGATCAGAAACATCCTGGATGTTATGTTCAATGTCAGATGGACCTCAGACATCCCCAGGGGGTAGGTTAATCTGAGGTCAAGGTTGGAAATAAAAAGGCAGGACACATCAGCTTGTCAATGAATTAGTGGTCAGGCTGAGAACTGGCAACTGGATTTGGCACAGTGGAAGTCAGTAAGTGGTCTCAAATAAGCACTTTCAGTGCTGTGGGGGCCCAGAAAAAACAGGCTGGAAAGTACTGGAGCCAAACAAGTCTTCTAAGAAATTTTGCGGTAAAAGAGAACAGAGAACAGGGGGCTAGGGCTAGACAGAGAATTGGGGTTTCATGTTTTTTTTTAAATTCAGAGGACTCCCCCCCCCTTTTTTTATTGATTTCATAGATAAGGGAAGGAAGGGAGAGAGACATCAATCAGTTGCCTCCTGCACACAGCCAGACTGGGGACCAAACCTGAAACCTGGGCATGTGCCCTGACTGGGAACTGAACCTGGGACCTTTTGGTTTGTAGGATGACACCCACCAACTCAGCCACTCAGGCCAGGGCCCAGAGGACTTTTTAATTTGGCTATTTTCATTGGTTATATTTGGCTGAACTTTTCATTCTGGACAATTCTAAATATATACAAAAGTAGAAAATAGAGGCCTCATGTACCCATCACAGCAATTCAACAATTACCAATTTGAGGGTAATTGTGATTTGTCCCTCCCTGTCCCCCACTTCTCTGGATTACATTGAAGCAAATTCCAGTTTTCATTACATCCGTAAACATCTCAGTATGTATGTTTAAAAGGATAAGGAATCTCTAAAAAGACAACCACAAGACCACTTTGAACCTTAAAAATATGACAATACTTACAAATACCCAACCAATGTCCCAATTTCCCTTGTCTCTGTTTTTCTAGCTTTTTGCAACTAGTTAATATCTAAGGCTCTTGTAATTACAGGTTTCCCCTTCCTTAATCTTTTCCTCAAACTATTCCTCCTTTTCTCCTTTTTTCTTGAGATTCATTTGTTGGAGAAACAGGGTCATTTGTCTTGTCGACTTCCAGTTTGGATTTTGATGTTTGGGTCCAGAAAGGTGGTGGCATCTATTCTAGGTACTTCCTGTAACTTGGTGTATAAATCTAGAGAAATTAATTGGATTCAGTGACCTCTTAGCTGGGGATGTGTACTCACTTCCTTCATGAGACAAAGTCCAGCTGTCCCTCTTTTTGTGACGTTAGAAGCTGATGAGAATCCTTGTCTAGACCCACTATATATCCCAATAAAGGCTGCAAAATGGCGATGTGCCAATTCTATCATGAAGCGTTTGTTTTTTGTTTATAAGGTGCAAGCCAGCCTGTTTGTATGCGAGTGGAAATAATCCCATAGAGAAGGGTTAGCGGGGGGTGCCTGGTTTTGATGTTTGGCAACCGCTAACTCTGCAAACTGGGTTCCATAATCGTGACCAGACTTCACTCCCCTGACTTCTGTGCCTCTGGCCCCTTCCTCTCAGTCTAACTGTTCTCTACCCTTAACTTTTAGTCCTCGATGACTCCATAACGTTTGCCTTGGTCCAAATTCTAGGACTCCTGCCTTTGCCCCTGGAAACGGACTTGCGGGACGGCCAATAGTTTAAGCTACTGAGGGACAGCGCCCATAGCGCGGGCCCTGGGAGGAGTCAATAACTTGAGACGGCGAGCCAAACCAGTAGCCTCGAGCGAGGGGCAGGACTGTGAGGAAGCCAATCGCTGGAGAGACTCGGCGCAGCCGCACCCAAAGGCTCTGGGACGGGGGCGTCACCCTGACCCCGGCCGATTCTACACCCGGGCTCCGAGGCTATGGCCGGGAGCGGGTGGCTGGCACTGAGAACGTTGCCCGGGCCTAGCTGGGTGCGGGGCTCGGGCCCGGCCGTGCTGAGCCGCCTGCGGGACGCAGCTGTGGTACGGCCCGGTTTCCTGAGCGCGGCTGAGGAAGAGACGCTGAGCCGCGAGGTTGAGCCCGAGCTGCGCCGCCGCCGCTACGAATTCGACCACTGGGACGCGGTGAGGCCGCGGAAGGGGCGGAGCTACGTCAGAGGCGGAGGCGGAGATGTTGGGAGCGGGGACGGGAGTGGAGCTCTGGGATGGGGCGGGGCTGAGATGAGGGCGGTACGTAGGACGCGAGTTGTCGGGGTGGGGCTAAAGTGAGGGCGGGAACCGGGAACTGAGACGCTGGGTGGGGCGGGGCTACGACTGGGGACGAGACCTTGGGAATGGAGGCGGAGTCTTGAAGCTTGGGGTCACCGGGGGCAGAGAGAGCACTTTGAGGATGAGGGCAGGCCCATACATACCTGGAGGCAGGAGCTGGAACTGAGGGGTGTTTAGGATGCAGGACCAAGGTTAGGGAGAGAAACCGGTTTGGAGCGAGATGAGGGAGGGTCACCCGTTGCGGACGGAGACTGACTCAAAATTGAATATTGGTGGGGGGGGGGGGGGGGCCCGCAGTGGGGACGGGAATTGGTGCTGAATTGAAGCCCGAAGGTGGGTACAAAAGACAGGCCACACTAGGTGGGGTAGGGGTCGGGCTTTGAGACCCAAGATCACGGTTTAGGTACACCAAATTTGTGAGTTGAGGGCGAGGTCAAGAGTCATGCTGGGAAAACCACACCCTTGCTCTGCACCCTGTCCCTTCGAATCTGGGTTTCCGTTCCCCATCCCCGACTCTCCCCCAACCCCCAAGGAAGTTCCAGGCTTGACTTGAGCTTTCTATGCAGGCCATCCACGGCTTCCGAGAGACAGAGAAGTCGCGCTGGTCAGAGGCAAGCCGGGCCATCCTGCAGCGTGTGCAGGCGGCTGCCTTTGTTCCTGGCCAGACCTTGCTGTCCTCGGTGCACGTGCTGGACCTGGAACCTCGGGGCTACATCAAGCCACACGTGGACAGTGTCAAGGTAGGCTGAGGCCAGCATCTTGGAGCTCCCAGCTGGGGTTGGGCCAGCTGGGCCAGAGCCTGACCCATTACCCTGTGCCCTCTTCCAGTTCTGCGGAGCCACCATCGCTGGCCTGTCACTGCTATCTCCGAGTGTCATGCGGCTGGTACACACCCAGGAGCCGGGAGAGTGGCTAGAACTCTTACTGGAGCCAGGCTCCCTGTACATCCTTAGGTACTGCCAGCCAAGGAGCCCCCACCCTGCTAGTCACTGGTCAGACACTACCCAGCCCTGCGAGCACTCTCTCTCATTCAGCCCTCACAGCAAACACTACCATCTCATACAGTGCAGACACTCAGCCTAGAACACGGGTGCCCTTACCCCACCCAGGCACAGCCTGTTTTCTCTTGCAGAGACTCAGCGCGTTATGACTTCTCCCATGAGATCCTTCGGGATGAAGAGTCCTTTTTTGGGGAACGTCGGGTTCCGCGGGGCCGTCGCATCTCTGTGATCTGCCGCTCCCTCCCTGAGGGGATGGGGCCAGGGGAGCCCGGGAAGCCTTCCCCAGCCTGCTGACCCCCAGGCTCTTCCCCCAGCTTCTCAGAGACACTGTTTGTGAATAAAGCTAGTGAATGGACAGGCAGCCTTCCTTGCACTGGCTGTTTGCTGGGGCTGGGTTCTGCAAGGGAAGCCCAGGACCCACCTGCTCACCAACTGGGAGCTAACGTGGCAGGGTCAGGGCGCACCCCACTGAACTCAAAGTCATGAGACCTCAGGAGCAATTTCCTTTATTGTGTTCCTTGCTGGCAGTCCTGGGGTGCCACCTCCACTTTCTCATCTTCTCAGCATCCAAATCTCCAGTAAACAAGCCAGCAGATTCCTGGTGTGGCGGCAGGGCCCCAGGCCAGGCACCCTCAGCCACCACAGCCACAGGCGGCCGCCGAGAGCTGGGGCAGCCACTGCCAGTGGTGGCGGTCATCCAGGAAGGCCACATCAGTGTAGCGGGTGGGCCGGCAGCAGGGGCCACCATGGGCTCTGCCCTGGCTCCGCAGGTGGGCCAGCGTCAGGCTGTGCTGAGTGTGGGCACCTCGGGGACAGCTGCCAGCGCAGTAGCGGAAAACGATCGTCTCCTCCGAAGCGTAGCCTAGGCCCAGATCGGCTACCGGCAGGGTCAAGCTCCGCAGCTGGCAAGGGCCAGCCGGGGCTCGGCGCAGGCGGGCACCTGGGAGGGACAAGGGGCAGCTGACGGGGGGCAAGAGTTGGCCAGGAAGGAGTTGGGGAATCAGAGGGTCCTGTGGGTCCTTACCCAGCTGTGGCCTCCCGGTCGCTATGTCTGCTGCTGGCTCGGACGAGAGCGCTCCCTCCACCACCAGAACCCCTGGCGCACCCCGGCCCCTGCCAAGGCCCAGCTGCAGGGACAGGAGCAGGAGAGAGCTGAGCAGGACTCTTCCTGTGGCCATTGTGACGAGCAGGTCCTGAGGGTGGGGATGCCCTGCGCCCTCAATTTATCCTCATCTGGGCTGGAAAGTAACCTCTTCACTGCCGGCCGCTGCAAGGGCACGAAGGCCCCTTGTTCCGCACCAGCTTGTGTCCTGCATCTGCAGACCTAGGCAGGCCGGCTCCCTCTGCCCCACAGTCTGTCCTTCTAGGAGTTAAGGGCTCACCCCTACACCCAGACATTCCACAGATCCATTTCCGACACCCCCTCCATCCCCTGATCCCTGATTTATGAGAGTTGTGGCGGCAGCCAGGGCCCAGCCCAGGGTGAGCAACCGGGGTCCCCGCCCCACCTGTCGTCTGGAAGGAGCGGGGGTGGGGGGTTCTGTAGGGCCCCTCTCCACTCTGGCAAAGCGCTGAGGCTCAGGAGTCCCTGTGTTGGGCACCAGATGGAGCAGGTGTGTGTGAGGAAGCGGTGGGTTGGCAGGTGAGTTAGCTAATGCAGACTCCTCCTCCATGGTTCCCGCCTGGAGGATTAAGCATCATCATGCCCCTGTCTGTGGGCCTGGCTGAGCCAGTGTCAAAACAGGAAGAGGGAGAGGCCCTAGCACAGCCAAGAGCTGGGACACAAGGGGCAGGAAGCTCCCCCTGCAGACTCTTGTCTCTAGAAGGCCCACCTGAGGACCCTGAGACCATAGCTTTGTCCTGATGTCCTGAGCACCAGAGCGAGAGGGGAAGTTGACTCTCACTGGGCCTTGGAGGCAGTTGCAAGTCAGTGATTTCCACACCCAGCCCCTTTGGTCCCTGGGAAGTGAGAGTCAAGTGTCCCTCATCTGTGAAAGGAGGCCAATCAAAGCCCCTCCCACATGGGGTTCTGAGGACAGTCATTTAGTGTTTGACATGGTACCTGGCACTGAGGAGCTTGGGAGAGCTTTTAAAGCAAAGGGAATTCAAATAGCTTTTGCATGTTTGAAGAGGTGTTTGACCTCACACAGGTGAGACTGAGTTAAAACTCAAGGGAGACTTGGCGCCCGAGACAGGTAAAAATCAGCTTTGCTTCCATGGGGCTGGGCTGCATGTGTAACACAGGCACAATCCCATGCTGTGAGTTGGCAGCAGTTGAACATTTGCTACCCAAACTGCAAATCCCATCCCTTTCACCCCAAAATTGCTTCAGGAACTCATCCTTAGCAGGTAAGCAAAGACACAAGCTCAAGACTATTCATCGCTTGCTGTTTGCATCAGCAATGATCAGAAATGACTGAAAGTCCAAATACTTTTTGTACCCACCCTCGGGCTTCAATAATTTGGTGTGGTTGTTCTCACTGTAGTCCTTGAGACTACTTTCAGAAGGAAAAGAAGTCACTTGTCCAAAGTTACCAAGAATTAAACACAGGCAGAATTTGAACTCAGGCCCCACTGCACCAAAGGCCCTGCTCCTAACCACTGAGGCACATGGCCCGGCCTAGTGGGGGGCCTTAGACCACAGTCCACATGGCCAAAGTGCAGGGGTGAAGTCATCGGGTCAAAGGGCAAGGGCTTCTTTCCTGCTGCCCCAAAAAGGCCTGGCAGAAGTATGAGGGAGCTTGGACCGACCTGGGACATTCCTAGGAATTAGCCTTACATCTCAGGCATTCCTGTTTGACAGCCAAGGTCCTGTGGAACTGGGTGGGGAAGAGTTTTCCACCTGCAGTTTCCAGCCAAGGGCAAGATGGAAGCCCAGATGACTCAGGATGGGTGTTCAAAGGTAGCACCTGCTGCCAAACGTCATTTCCAGCAGTGTTACTGTCCGTGAACAGTCCTCCCACTATAGAACGCCTAGCAAAGCCAGAAAAAATAAAAGCATAACCAAATCTTAAGATACTAAGGAAAGCCCAGAAACATCACTGGAAAGCTGAAAACCAGGGCTCAGATGCCAATATCAATAAAAGAGGTCTCGGCTTTCATTGCCATGTAGGGACAGAGACCTGAGCTAAGAACCCCAAATGGGCTCAGGCTGGGACTCCTGGGACACCTGGTAGGAGCAAAGACAAAAACCATCTAGAAGGACTGGCCTGCAAAGTAGACCATTCAGAAGTTCCACAGAGAGAACCCAAGCTGGCCGCCAGTTCCCCCATCTGCGATTGCGAAACAATTGATCAAAGAGGAGTCAGAAGATAGAAGAGGATGCCAATGAGCTTCAGGTGCTAATGTGTGTGACAGAAACCATAAGATGAGATGCTTAAAAGGAAAATGTAAAAGAAAGAATGAAAAACATTAAGGGCAAAACACTCAAAACAGACCAGCTGATCTGAAAAAGAAACTAAGCACTCAATGGGTTGGTAGTGGATAAGCCACAAGCAAAGTGCAAGGCAGAGCTAAGAAATCACCCCAGGTGCAAAGTTCTGAGAGACATCTAGAGATTCTAGAGCAGGGGCGGGAAAAATGAGAAGTAAATTCAGGAGAACGCTGTTTAGGTTTTTCCATACTTATTAATGCTGGGCCCTGGGGTTCAGGGGGCACAGTAACAAATGGCCAGTTGGACCCATGGCAGTGAGTGTATGAATTCAAGAACCTACGAAATTCTGGAGACTAGAGCTTATTTATTGGGCAGAAGGGTGGGGGCCAGCCCCTCACTCCTTGAGGGAGAAGTGCATCTTGTCGTTGATCATCTTGCGTTCAGGGTTGAGGCGCTTGAGGATCTGGGCAAGCACATTCACTGTCTGCTCACTGCTCAGCCCCGTCTTCTTGGTCTGGAACTTTTTCAGCAGGTCCTTGGTGGTCATAGGCTTCCGTGTCAGGTAGCGGCGCACAGCGTCCTCAGTCACCTGCACGTCACTGAGGAGCCCAGGGGAGATCGGGGAGGTGAGTGGGAGGCCCTCCCTCCTAGTGACCCACATCCTGCCCCTGCTGCCCTCGCCAACTTACCCGCTGCTGGGGGTTGACTTCCCAGACTGGGGCTGAGGGGTTGACTTCCCAGACAGGCTCTGGGGCCCAGTGTCCAGCCGCAACCGCTTGGCTGCCGTCGTGTCATTTCCTCGCTTTCCTGTGGAGCAGACGCAGGGCCGAGTATTAGAACTGGGGGGCCGGACCTGTCTGGGGGACCCCAGGCTGGATTGCGGGTATAAGGGGCTCAAGGGCAGATAGGCGTCTGCCCCCTAGTCTGGCCTCAGACCCTGACAGAAGAACAGAACAAGAACAGAAGAGGTCAAGGGGGGACAGGAAGGCCGCTCACCCTGCTCCAGCTTGCTGGCAGCAGCCCGAAGCGTGGAGGAGGTGTTGCCACTCTCTGTGCTGGGTGTGCCCGGTCGGCTGTTGCCCCTCGAACTGCCACCTGACGGCTTCCGCTCCCTCTTGGGGGGTGTCTTCTTTTTCTGCAAATTTCAGGATCAGGGATGTTGGTCAGGAAACAGACACCAAGGCCAACACCCCTGCCCGGCCCCCGGGGGCTGGCCTTACAGCCATGAAGAGGGCTGAGGATGCCTCACTGTCGATGTCACTCTCTTCTGAGCTGTCAGACTCATCACTGCTGTCTGTGTGGGGCCAAAGAAGGGAGGTCAGGACCACAGGCACCTGTGCCCACCCTCATCTCCAGCTCAGATAAGGGGGTCTGGGAGGGAGCAGAGGGAGCTGAAGCTTCGAAAGCCAAGCCCACCTCTCCGCCGCTTCTTCTCCTGTGGTGTGGGTGCCTTCTTCTCCTCCTCCTCCTCCTTGTCCTCCTCAGGCGGCTTCTCTTCCTCGCTCTCCTCGCTGCTTTCACTCTGCTCATCAACGCCCTTGGGGCCCTCCTCCTGCTGGGTGACCTTGGGCTTGCCCTCCAGCTCCTCCTCAGAGCTGCTGTAAGACAGAGAGCAGACAGGGTGAGGGAGCGCTTCCTCCAGCCTGGCCCAGGGTCTCACAACAGTCTCCTGCCGGCCTCACCTGGAGCCGTCAGACATGTAGTCCACCTCCTGGCCCTCGAAGTCCCCGTCGTCACTGTCCTCAAAGGCCTCATCATCTGACCCCTTCTTCTTCTTCTTCTTCCGGCCAGCCTTAGTTGTTGGCGCCTTCTTCTTAGCCTTGGGGGCTTTGCCACCTGGAGAAGTGGAGGGGGCAGAGAGGGAGATGCCCAGGGCCAGGCAATTCTTAAGAGAAGGCAAAGGGCTTGCCTAGAAGTGCACTTCTCGTGTGCAAACCCACCAACCCAGGATCTACGCCCCTGGCACCACCCTTTCTCTAATCTCACACTCAGGGCCACTGTCCCCTGCCCTAAATCACCCTCAGATCCGAGAGCACACTAGAATTACTGAAGCGGGCAAATCCTAAGTGATCTCCCTGCCCGGCCTTGTCTTTCCCTTGGGAACTCCAGTAAACATTGTGGCCAGGTCTTTCCCACCACTCATTTCTGCCTCCTACCCACTCTGCTGCTTCCCCAAGTGGCCCTGCATGGCGTGCTGTGCCTGCCTCTCATCTCCCTGGCAACTGCACCTAAACTTTTTACTCAATGGCATTAATCTTTCTGTGCTGTCACTTAGCCACCTTTATAAAGACCAAGGCACAACTCAGGCAGTTGTGCTGACCACCCCAGGCACCAGGGTTGGGCTCTGCCCAAGCTCACCCTCCTCGCCACTGGCCTCGCTGTCATCAGATGACATCTCCAGGTCATCCTCTAGGTCATGGATGCGCAGCTCACTGGCCTTCTTGCGGCCACGCTTGTCCTTCTCCTCATCCTCTTCATCCTGGTCCTGGTCCTTGAGCCGCCGCTGTTGCATGATGCTGAAGTGGTTCAGGACTTTGTTCCTCCTGCGGGCAGGGGTGGGAGGTACAGTGGGGTCTGACAATGGGCCTGGTTCCAGGGTCCTCCTCCAGCAGCCAGGCGTCTTTCCTGCACCTCACTGGGTATTCGCCAGAGAGAATCACAGACATGGCTTAGGTGACAGGAAGGATGATTTGACCCCAGGGGATGCACACACAGCATGAAACACCATGAAATCGCATGGGGAGAGCTGGCCCCTCTTCAGTTCCCTCTACCCTGAGCCCCTCAAGAAGGTGTTGATGTGGGGTT